ATATGCTAAGCAGCTTACATAGTGCCTTTAGGGGTTTTATGTGCCATGTTACGTCTAGGGGGTACCCTTGGGTCATGACAAACTTGGTATTCAAAGCAAAATGCTTAGAATGATTCTAGGATGATGCCTCATAAGCCACGTCTAGTAGAGTCTTGTTCATGAGTGTGAAACGCGCCACATTTATGAATGAGAGGCTATAAGATGTTAGGAAATTACACTTCTTTCATTACTATTAAGTCGTGCCATAGAGTTTAACTTTATAAAGTCTTCATTCTAATCCTTATCTTGTGTCTTCAGGAAATGAATACACGAAGGGCTAACGCAAGAAGGGTGGAAGAGGAGAATGTGAATTAAGGAGTTCCTCAAGGTAATCAAGCTCCGGTTGATCCCGCAATGGAGAATGCGACCTATAAGGTGTTTAGGTCTACTATCCAATTGTTGGTTTAAGTTGTAAGAACCCAAGCCAATAGAGAGGTGATAGCTCCTATGAACGCTAATGTGAATTCCACGGCTTCTAGATTGAGGAATTTTACAAGGATAAACCCTCCCATGTTCTTTGGTTCCAAAGTGGGAGAAGATCCTCAAGAATTTATGGAAGAGGTTTACAAGATAATTGATGTTATGGGAGTCACTTCGATAGAAAAAATGGAGCTAGCCGCTTATCAATTGAAGGGTGTGGCCCAAGTATGGTATACTCAATGGAAGAGGAATAGGCTGGTAGGAATGGGTCCAATAGATTGAGAGGTGTTCAAGAAAGCATTTCTTGATAGGTTATTTCCCCGAGAGATGAGGGAAGTTAAGGTGAAAGAATTTATCAACCTTCGTCAAGGAGGCATGAATGTTCAAGAATATTCTCTAAAGTTTACCGAATTGTCCAAGTATGCTTCGGCTATGGTGGCGGATCCAAGGGATGAAATTAGTAGGTATGTCACGGGTATATCCAAGGTGGTAAGAAAAGAATGTCGTACGGCAATGATCCTTCATGACATGGATCTCTCACGTCTTATGGTGTATGCCCAAAAAATTAAAAATGAGAAACTCCAAGGCAACAATAGGGAGGTGAAAAGAGCTAGAACCGGTGAAGGGAATTTCTCCAATGCTAAGTTTGATGGACAAGATCGACAAAGGTTCAAGCAAAGATTCTCCAATCAAGGCTCATTTAGTACTCTAAGGGTTGACAAGGATAGGGTTTCCAACCCTAAACCTCAATAAGGTAATAGTGGTGGTTCATATGTTGCTAGGCCTAATTGTGCAAAATATGGTAGAAAACATGAAGGCAAATGCTTAGTTGGCTCGGATGGGTATTATGGGTGTGGAAAGAGTGACCATAAGATGAGAGATTGTCCTATGCTCAAGGTCAAGGTGAGAGAATATAAGCAAGCTTCTCTAAGTCGTTCCAACTCCAATGCCCAAAATCAAAACCGCTTTTATGATCTCCAATCCTGAGGTGACCAAGAGAGCTCCCCATATGTGGTGACCGGCATGTTACAAGTCTTTTCTATTGATGTATATGCTTTGTTAGACCCCGGTGCCACTTTGTCCTTTGTTACACCTTTTGTAGCTATGAAGTTTGAAATACTCTCCGAAGTGTTAATAGAGCCTTTTCGGTTTCTACCCCGGTTGGTGACTTGGTAGTGGCAAAAAGAGTCTATATGAGTTGTCCTATTTCCTTGTCTCATAAAATTACCTTGGTGGATTTGGTAGAGTTAGACATGTTAGATTTTGATGTGATTTTGGGTATGGATTGGTTGCATGCATGTTATGCCACTATAGATTGTAGGACCCGGGTGGTAAAATTCCAATTCCCAAATGAGCCCATTTTAGAGTGAAAAGGGGGAAATTATATCCCTAGAGGTCAATTTGTTTCTTGCCTCAAAGCTAGGAAAATGATCTCCAAGGGTGCATTTACCATCTTGTTAAGGTTATGGATGTTGAGTCTGAAACCCCTTTTCTAGAGTTGGTTCCGATAGTGAATGAATTTCTGGAAGTTTTTCCCGATGATTTGCCCGGTATTCCTCCCGAGTGGGAAATAGATTTTGGCATTGATCTTTTACCGGATACACAACCTATCTCCATTCCTCCTTATAGAATGGCACAGGCCGAGTTAAAGGAGTTGAAGGAACAACTAAGGAATTTGCTTGATAAAGGCTTTATTTGTCCGAGTATCACTCCTTGGGGTGCTCTGGTGTTGTTTGTTAGAAAGAAAGATGGGTCTCTTAGAATGTGCATTGATTATCGCCAATTGAACAAAGTGACCATAAAGAATAAATATCCTCTTCCGAGAACATTTATTCTCCAAGACAATTAATTGGAAATGAAAATGTCCACAACATGATTGTTGTTATGAACAAGTTACATGAACAATTTACTTGTCATAGTGAGGTCATGAATAAAGTGATTTTTGAGAATGTATTTGGCTAAGCTCAAAGCCTCGTCATATCGATGAAACCAAAAAATGATATATTAAGATGAGTTCAAGAATGCAACATCTTTGTGAATGTGATTTGGTCAAAAGAACACTATCAATATCAACATTCAAGAAGCTAGAATGTAAGATCAGATGAAAGCTTTATCCGCATGGACTCTCTCTCTCTCGATGCACGTTAGCTTAATGTGTTCCTTTCATGGGTAAGAGAACTAGAGCTCCATATTTGAAGGCTATAATGGCAAATGAAGCACAAGAAAGGCTTGAAGCAGCTCAGCGGGGGAAGCAATCAGCTCGATTGAACCAAACAGTCTCTCAATCTAATGAAATAGTAACAACAATACATATGAAGGGAGGAACAAGCACAAAATCAAACACGGAGGAGAACATAGACACCAGATCTCAGATAGGGTTATCGATGAAGGCAACTGTACCAACAAGCCAATGCAACCTATTGAGGCTCAAGAGTTATGGAAGGAAATTGCAGAGTCTGTGGATATAAATGAAATAGTGGAATCATCTAGTAGTGGGAGGAAATCCTAGGCAGATAAAGTGGAGGAAATTGTGGATGTGCCAGCATAGAGGAGCTCAATATGGGATGATTTTGACATTGGCAAGATGGTGAATATTGGATTCAAGCTGGAGTATGTTGCTCCATCTAGCATAGGTAAGTCTGATTATGTAGAAATTGAGCTAAATGACATAAGTTCTGAAATAGAATATTGGAGAAACTCAGTTTTATGCGAAGTGTTGGGAGCACATCCACCATTTGAAGTCGTAAAAGGGTTTATTAACATAATTTGGGGTAAACATGGGATACACAAGAGAGTAATGCTGAAAAATGGGGTTGTATTAGTCAGATTTGACACTACAATATGGCAAAATGAGATTATCCAGGTAGGAATTTATCACTTGTATAGTAAGCCATTCATAGAAAAGGCTTGAAACCCAGACATAGATTTTTCAAGAGAAGAGCTACACATAATCCCCATTTGAATTAAGTTCCCAGGGTTGGATTTTAAGTACTGGAGCCCTGAATGTTTGAGTAAACTGGGGAGTCTAATTGGGAAACCTTTAATGGTAGACCAAAATAGTGAGAGTAAAGTTGTACTAAATTTTGCTAGACTCATGGTGGAGGTTGATATGGATACTACTCTTCCAAAAACAGTTAGTCTGCAGAATGAAAAAGGGCAACTGATTGAACAAAAGGTGACATATGAATGAAAGCCAATACTATGTAAATACTATAAGAAATATGGACATTTAGAGGAGATCTGTAGGAAAAAAAATATGCCAAAAGCTGAGAATAAGAGGTGGACGTACAAGCTACAATTGGAGGAAAACACATATATAACTGAGAAAAGGATGAAAGGGCATAGCAAGGAAGGAGGTGTAGCACATCATGGGAAGAGTAAAGATATGCATCAGCCTGACAATCTAATGACACAGGTTTACACTCCAGTACATCAAGTTGAGAAGGAAAGAAAGGAACCTTCACATGTAGCAGACAAAGAGGGTTAGATCACACCTAGGAGGGTGGTTCATGTGTACAAGAAAAAGAGTGCTACCAACAACACATACAAAGACATGTAAGGCAAAAGTGGAGAAGGAAAAAGTGAGGAGAGCAACCTCATCCCAAGCACTTGAATGGTTAATATCCTAAGTCGAAATGTAAGGGGCCAGAATGGGTCAAATAAACAGAAGAAGGTCAAGCTCCTCTGCAATAAAGAACAAGAAGGTTTGATAAGCTTGTTGGAAATGAAAATAAAAATATATAGTATGGATAAAATTGTTGAAAGCATGTTTGGAGGGGAAGCACATACACAACTTGGAGAGTCATTACAATGGGAAAATACTTGTCATTTGGAGACCTGATTACTATACAGTTAGAATAGTGAATATGACATCCCAAAAAGTAACATGTGAAGTAGAGTATATACCTAAGAAATTTTCTTTTCTAGTATCTATTGTGTATGTTTTTAACACAAGAGAGGAGAGGAAGGCACTATGGTCTACTCTAAAAGCAATACACAGATCAAACAGGAAACCATGGCTATTAATAGGAGATTTTAAGTCTACACTTCATGTTGAGGATAGGATAGGTGGAAATCCTGTCTCTTTGGTAGATGTGGTGCATTTTTCAGAGTGTGTAAATGAGTGTGGATTGATTGAACTCCATCACCAAGGTAATCAATACACTTAGAGTGACAAGGGGAGTGATGAGAGAGTATATTCAAAAATAGATAGCCCGCCCTGATTAATGATGAATGGCTGACAAATATGCCCTCAAGCAAGGCTACATTCTTATCTGAAGGCATAAGTGACCACTGTCCAATTAAGCTAAATCTTACAGAGGAGATGATAAGGAAACAAACTTCCTTTTATATATTGCAATGCATGGGAAAAAGGAGAAATACTTGTAGTTCAAACACATATCATACCTAGCCGAGATGTATTTGCAGTAACTAAGTAAAGTGACTTGGCTGAAACAATGGGATAATAATATCATATATTTCCATTCTGTAATAAAGCATAGAAGATTAAAGCTAGCAACCACACATTTGAAAGGATGAAAATGGACACTCAGGTAAGATAGCACAGATCTTTGTTAATTATTACAAGAAGCTCCTAGGTGAAAAAACAACATTCAACCTGCAAGCAAATGAGATTGTATTGAAAAATAGGCTTGTATTAGATATGGAACAACATATGCAACTATTGGAGCCATATACTGGGATGATGTGAAGCAGGCCATGCTAAAGATAGACCAAACAAATATCCCAGGTCCTGATGGATATGGAAGTGGATTTTATAAAAAGACATGGCGGATAGTTGGAGAAGACATCACTGATGCAGTCTTGGAATTCTTTCAGAATGGGAAACTACTGAAGAAAGTGAATGAAACCAATATAGAACTTATTCCTAAGGTGGATGTACTAGAACGACCAATTGCATGTTGTAATATTCTTGATAAATGCATTTCAAAACACTGATTTGTACCAGGTTGAAAACTGATGTGAGTCATCTAGTTGCAGACAATCAAGCTGCATCTGTGAAAGGACAATCCATGGTACATAATATTATGATTTTTTATAACAGAAAAGCCACTCGTAGGTGTTTGATGAAAATAGGCCTCAGGAAGGCATATGACACGATGAGTTGGGAATTTTTGGAGGAAACTTTAAAAAGGTTTGGCTTTCCGACAAAATTTATCAATTGGATAATGATATGTGTCATGACCCGAGTCTACACCTTGGACGTGACCGGCACTCGAAGACCATTATTGGTCCCCAGGCGAACCCTCATCCTGGCTGACTACAAGTGGAAGACTAACTCAAGCATGCAAATGCTTAAAAACTGAATAAAATTCATGAAACTTAAAATAGAAAGCTTTAACTCAAAAGAAAACTCTAAATAAAATAATTATTCAACTCGCCATAAAATAGGCAACTAAGTCTTTAAAACATTTAATAAAATAAATAATACAGACTTCTCAACTATACTGACTATCTATGAAGCATCTAACTGATAAAGATGGAAGTTGGGAGAAGACCCACGACATCCTAACTAAACTGAAAAGTAAATGAAATCCTCCGGAAACAAGGAGGCTCACCATAGCTGACTCGAACTCCTGAATGTATCAACGAAGCTCCTCTTGATGATCCTGAAACTTGTGTCTGCATCATGAAAAGATGCAGGCCAAATGGCTCAGTATGTGGAATGTACGAGCATGTAAGGGGAATTCTAAA